AAATTCAAATAATAAAAGAACTTAACGAAGCTAAAGAATTAGTAAAAAATATTATTACAAAAAATGAAGGAAAAGAAATAATAAATCCAGACGAAGATGAAAAACCAAAAATTCTAGAAATAATAGAACAATTACAAGAAATAATCGAACGACTTAACCAAAATAGATATATCACTATAAAAGACTTACAAAATTATTTTAAAAAAGAAACAAAAGAATTAATTATTATCGATAAATCTAATTTTCGAATTAGATCACCACCAAAGATATAATGGAAGGACTAGATGATCAGATAGAAAGATTATCAACATTATTAGCGGCTCTTAATATACCCGAAGAAGAGCAACGTGATGAAACTGAAAAAATCGTCTTAGATTATAGTAGCGATGAAAATCCTTACGAAAATCCATATAATAATCCTTTCCTAGTAAAAACCGAACTAGAGAGGGGGGAGAATAGTAATAATAATACATTACCTAAAAAACGAACACACGATGAATATCAAGGATACAAAGATCATGAATATGAACTATATCAAAACCAATATATTCCAAAAGGAAACAATTGGAGAAAAGTTCCTTTTGAATATATTCCCAAATATGATACATTTAATATAAAATCTTCTGAAATATTAAATTTAGATTGTGAAATTAATCCAACTAGAACATTAGAAGACCACAACATAACTTATCGATTTTTGCCTCTTGTTTTCGTTTTTCTTGATTACATTGAAACAAATGCCAATCTTTTAATGTTGCTATTCTTCCTCCTAGAGTATTGGGAATTTGTCCCTCATTTACTTTATTCTGGTATATGGTTTTTATTTCTTCCGATATTGATAAAGGTAGTTTATCGAAGAATAATTCTTCGGCTACTATTTTCTTATCCGTTGCTAGTTGATAGTAATGATCTCTAAATTCGCAAATGAATGCTTCAAGATAACACATGTTACAAATTCTAAGATTTACTATTTTCCATAGTGCAACTTCTGATATTAGTGTTTCTCTTAATTGTGCGTTAGAAGTTCTTCCAAGAAATTCTTCTCCTATTACGTCAATTAGCCTAACAAATGTTTCCCATGCAGTTGATCTTAGAATTTTCTCTGCTTTTATTCCTGTTGATAATCCTATTAAATAGTTGTATACTATTCCTGTTGTTTTATGTTCTAAGTAGCTTAACATTTCGTGAGGGTGCAATTCTCTTAGTTCCTTATTAGTTTGTATTAACAAACTTGTACGATTTTTCCAATCTTCTAATGTTCTAGTTGGATTAATTTCACAATCTAAATTTAATATTTCAGAAGATTTTATATTAAATGTATCATATTTGGGAATATATTCAAAAGGAACTTTTCTCCAATTGTTTCCTTTCGGAATATATTGGTTTTGATATAGTTCATATTCATGATCTTTGTATCCTTGATATTCATCGTGTGTTCGTTTTTTAGGTAATGTATTATTATTACTATTCTCCCCCCTCTCTAGTTCGGTTTTTACTAGGAAAGGATTATTATATGGATTTTCGTAAGGATTTTCATCGCTACTATAATCTAAGACGATTTTTTCAGTTTCATCACGTTGCTCTTCTTCGGGTATATTAAGAGCCGCTAATAATGTTGATAATCTTTCTATCTGATCATCTAGTCCTTCCATTATATCTTTGGTGGTGATCTAATTCGAAAATTAGATTTATCGATAATAATTAATTCTTTTGTTTCTTTTTTAAAATAATTTTGTAAGTCTTTTATAGTGATATATCTATTTTGGTTAAGTCGTTCGATTATTTCTTGTAATTGTTCTATTATTTCTAATATTTTTGGTTTTTCATTTTCATCTGGATCCATTATTTCTTTTCCGTTATTTCGTGTAATAATATTATTTACTAATTCTTTAGCTTCGTTAAGTTCTTTTATTATTTGAATTTGTCTGTTATTATTACTGTAATTATTTGTTGTTGTGAGTATTTCTTTGATATTTAGTAGTAATTCTTTTATTTCAACAATATTTTCTTTAATTAGTTTTTCTATAGTTTCCTTCATAGTTTCTGTCATCCTATTATTGTTTTAATATATTCTTTTAATTCCTCAGAGTTTTGTTTTATTTCTTTAATACTTTTTTCTTGTAGATATATTATTTCTTCTAATTTTTTATTTATATTTTCAGTTTCATTTTGTTTTTCATGGTTTTGTTCAAATATTTTTATTAATTTTTGTAGCTGATTTTCTAGATCTGATTTTATATTTTCAATATTTCTTTTTATTTCTTCATGATTTTCTGGATTTTGATGTATGATTCCATAGGAAATCATTTCAACAATATTATTTAGGGTAAAACCTATTTTCTTTATTTTATTTCCGAGATTATGATTAGTATCATCATCAAAGATGGTACCAATATAATATCGGCTTTGATTATGAAGATTTTTAGGTATTGTTATCACCTTTCCCTTATAAGGAAATCCGGGATAACATTCATCTTCATTGGTTAATATTAATGGTAATCCCTTCGAAAAATCAATTTTTTCGTTGTCCATAATCGTTACCTGGCTCTGATACCAATTGTTAAATTAGTCGAAATTCAGTCAAACTGGTCATACCATTTGAATTTGGTCATACTGGTCATACCAAAAATTTTTGGTCAGACTAGTTATTCTGGTATTTCCGTAATTTTATTAAAAATATTGGTTTTTTGGGAAACCCTAGAGATTCTAAGGTTATGCATGTTACTCTTGTCATGTTTAAGGTTATTTTTGTTATTTTGCCATTTAAACTGCCTCAGTTTTTTTCTTTTGCTCTCTCAGTGGTAGAAAAAAGCAAGGAGGAAGAGATAAAGTCAGAATCGTCTTTGGTAGCATTTCCCCTCCTCCAACTCACCAAGCGACCCCTTCCGGAACCCTAAACGATGAAACGATCAATCGAAGAAGTAGTCGGATCGGCCACGTCCAAGTCCCTCGATCACCAAAACCTCAAGAAGCCCGTCTTCCTCACCAGAGCCCAGCGCGAGGAACTCGCCCTCAAGCGCCGTCAGGACGAGATCGCCGACCAGCACCGCCGCATGGACCAGTTCCGCCGTGGCGCCGCCTTAGATACGGAGAACGGTGACGACGACGGCGACCGTGACCGCGAGCGCGACCGTGACCGTGATCGGGACCGCGACCGCGACCGCGACCGCGACCGCGACCGTGATAGGGAGAGAGACAGAGATCGCGATCGGGATCGGGAGCGTGAGCGTGAGCGAGAGCGGGAGAGGGAGCGGCGGGAGAGGGATTTGGAGAGACGGAACCGGGAGAGGGAGCGGGAGGAGGAGGCGAAGGCTCGGGAGCGAGCGAGGGTTGAGAAGATGGCGGAGCGAGAGCGGGAGAAGGAGCTTGACGCCATTAAAGAACAATACCTTGGATCTAAGAAACCTAAAAAGAGAGTCATTAAGCCGAGCGAGAAGTTCCGTTTCTCTTTCGACTGGGAAAACACTGAGGATACTTCGAGGGACATGAATTCTCTCTACCAGAACCCTCATGAAGCTCAGCTTCTGTTCGGGAGAGGATTTCGTGCGGGCATGGATAGGCGTGAGCAGAAGAAGCTCGCGGCCAAGTGCGAGAAAGAGATGCGTGAGGAGATTCGTCGGAAAGATGGTGTCGAAGAGAAGCCGGAGGAGGCTGCAGCTCAGAGGCTGCGGGGACAAGCCGCTGACGCATACGACTCGTTCGACATGAGAGTTGATAGGCACTGGAGCGAGAAGAAGCTGGAGGAGATGACTGAGAGGGATTGGCGGATTTTCAGGGAAGATTTCAACATCTCCTACAAGGGTTCTAAGATTCCTCGTCCGATGAGGAAATGGACAGAGAGTAAATTGAGCTCTGAGCTTTTGAAGGCCGTGGAGAGAGCTGGGTATAATAAGCCTTCTCCTATTCAGATGGCAGCAATACCACTTGGACTGCAACAGCGTGATGTTATTGGCATTGCAGAAACTGGTTCGGGTAAGACCGCTGCTTTTGTTCTTCCTATGTTAGCTTACATATCGAGATTGCCACCTATGACGGAAGAGAACGAGACCGAGGGACCGTATGCTGTGGTTATGGCCCCTACACGTGAACTTGCACAGCAGATTGAGGAAGAGACTGTTAAGTTTGCGCATTACCTTGGTGTTAGAGTAACCTCTATCGTTGGTGGGCAGTCCATTGAGGAACAAGGGCTGAAGATAACACAAGGATGTGAGATTGTGATTGCCACACCTGGTCGTTTGATCGATTGCCTCGAGAGGCGCTATGCCGTGTTGAACCAGTGCAATTATGTGGTTCTTGATGAGGCTGACAGAATGATAGATATGGGTTTTGAGCCTCAGGTTGTAGGTGTATTAGATGCGATGCCTTCCAGTAATTTGAAACCCGAGAACGAAGATGAGGAGCTTGATGAAAAGAAGATCTACAGAACTACATATATGTTCAGTGCTACTATGCCTCCTGCTGTAGAACGGCTCGCGAGAAAGTACCTGAGGAACCCGGTTGTGGTCACCATTGGTACAGCTGGAAAGACTACCGACCTGATTTCGCAACACGTGTTTATGATGAAGGAGTCTGAGAAGTTTTCCAGATTGCAACGACTGCTTGACGAGCTCGGTGACAAGACAGCCATTGTGTTTGTTAATACCAAGAAGAATGCTGATACTATTGCCAAGAATCTAGACAAGGCAGGATACCGCGTCACTACCCTGCACGGTGGGAAGTCTCAGGAGCAGAGAGAGATAAGTTTGGAGGGTTTCAGGACAAAGAGATACAATGTTCTTGTTGCAACGGATGTTGTAGGTCGTGGAATTGATATACCCGATGTGGCCCATGTCATCAACTATGACATGCCTAATAATATAGAGATGTACACGCACCGCATTGGACGTACGGGACGTGCTGGGAAGAGTGGTGTCGCCACAACATTCCTGACTCTACATGATACTGATGTCTTTTATGATCTGAAGCAGATGCTTGTTCAGAGTAATAGCCCCGTGCCTCCTGAACTTGCAAAGCACGAAGCCTCCAAATTCAAGCCGGGGACAGTCCCTGATAGACCCCCGAGGCGTAGTGACACCGTTTTTGTAAATTAAGCTGTCAGAGAGTTAGTCCATTCGGATTATGGGATCATTTCTGATCTGAGGTCAAGGTTCTTCTTCTCATCTCTTTTAGCTACACTCTTAAATTCTGGATTCCAGATGAAATTGTGGTTCGGTATATGGCCTTTTTCCTGGTTCATCGCTGCTTATGGGAGCACGATCTTTTTGAACATAGGTTTCCTTGCGAAAATGTTAATGTAGTAGTAGTTAGGTTTGGATGTTATAGGAAACGGGAGGGAGTGTACGGACTGACAAGAGTATGACTGGGTGAGCCAGAGGGCGTTTGTCTCTGTCTCACAGTCTAGTAGCTTGCTTGAGAGTAGAGATTCTCCATTAGAACCGCTTTGCCTTGATCCGTGGGTGATCAGGGATTGAAGGTCTCACCGGCCTCGGATCTTTTTGTCCATGGTTGGTCATGCTCTGTAAATCTTGTTTGAAATTCTTCATCGGCCCTTAAACCTCGTCCTTCTGGGGGCGAGATCCACCATCTTTCTGTGGTTTGGTGTTCGAACGAAGGCGAGGAACGGAGCGCTGGAAAATACTTGTGTTCGAATGCTGTATGTACTAGTTCAAGGCTGAGTAGCCAAAGTCAAGATGGCCGAGTTGGTCTAAGGCGCCAGTTTCAGGTACTGGTCCGAAAGGGCATGGGTTCGAATCCCATTCTTGACAAATAAGATTGTTCTTTTTGCCCCCCCGACGGCTCAGCCGGGACTCGCTGTGACATTTTAAAAACCAACCCATGGCGAGCCAAAGCGACCGACCTCTGTTAACCGCAAGTCTCTCTCTCTCTCATGGCCTCCGTCTCCATCTCTTCTCCCGCACTTTTTCCTCTCCACAGCGAGCGTTGCCAATTCATTTATCTCAATGCTAAGTCATTCTACCAAGTCATATCTTGAGCTATGGATAAGATCTTTCCGGTCATCAAGTATGAACCAGTTTTCATAAAACCATGATTATTAGTTGGAGATTTCAATGTTTAAATGTCGATTTGGGCTTCCTAAGAGCCCAAAGTTCTATTCAAAAGGCCCATTGGCCCAAAACAAATATTCACGGAATCGATCTCTCCACCACAGAAAAAGCTCTTCGTCGGCCAGAGGGTTTCACCCCCCAAGAAAATCGACAATGGCGACGCATCTCCAGAGGCTCTCCTCCCAAATCCACCGTCTCTCTCCATTCGCCAAATCCCTAATCGTCCGCACTTCCGCCACAGTTTCTCCCGCCGCAGCCTCCTCCGTACCTTCGCTATCGTCGGGATCGAAGAAAGTCTCCGATCGCATCGTGAAGCTCTTCGCGATCGATCCCGATGGCCACAAGCGGGAGATCATTGGGCTCTCCGGGAAGACTCTCGTACGCGCGCTCATTGACTCCGGGCTGATCGAACCGGCGTCGCACCGGCTTGAGGAGATCGATGCTTGCTCGGCTGAGTGCGAGGTCCAGATCGCGGAGGAGTGGCTCGAGAGGCTCCCGCCTCGCACCTACGATGAGGAGTATGTCCTGAGGCGGAACTCGAGGTCTCGTGTCCTGAACAAGCACTCGCGGCTCGGTTGCCAGGTTGTGCTTACGCCTGAGCTCCAAGGTATGGTTGTCGCAGTCCCTGAGCCCAAGCCGTGGGACATTCCGTAAGTCTTGTAGGCTCCTTTGGTTGTTGTCGTGATTTCGAGATGGTAATAATGCGAGTTCAAAATCCGAGAACTTGGGAGATGGTTTGATGTTTAATCCATGTTCTTCTTTCGCATACTCCTTAGTTATTTGAAATATCTTCAAGAGTTTTCTGGTTAAACGATTCCCCATTTGCCAATATGGGTTCTGTTGCAAATGAACTTTGCTTTCTGGATTTCAATGAATTTGTTTCTGATTCTGATTTGGTTGCTGGCTCTGGTGCTTTTCCCTGTCTTGGCGTTTGGGGTTTTTGGGAATGTCAGTAGATTTCAGGATGTCATATGTACATCAGGTCAGGGAAATTTTGGAAAACCCAATTAGGTTACCAGACGCATTATGATGAAATGGTTAGCTAGAGAGATGAAGACTGGTGTGTTGGATATGATGTCTGTCTCCGACATTGATATTTTGATGCAACAGAACAGAATTTAGCTCCTGTCCATGCTGAAGGGTAGTCCGGGTTGAGATGTTGAACTTAGATATTTGATTGAGATTCCTAAAGGGTATTTTTCGCCCGGTCGTTCTCTTTCCCCTATGAGCATGGATGTAGTTTGGTTTATGATCCGTGATAATAGCTTAGCTAGATAAGTTGGAGAGTGTCACCATTGAAGCAAGTGAAGGTCGAAGAAGGATGGGATGAATACCTTTTCTTGTTTGTTCCTGGAGCTAGAGCTAGTTTAGCCGTAGATTCTTGCCCTGAGTTCAGATAGTTGGTTTGAATCGCGGTCCCAAAAGCGGTTTCACCATCTTTCTGACTTAGGATTGGATTTAAATCCCCCCTTGGCAGCTGATGCACCATCTAGGGTTGAATGGATATATGGGTTCTGCATTGATCAAACCCCTCAATAGGAATCCTCTACCTTGAAATTTGGCGAAAGAGGAGACGCTATAGACCGGGTGAAGTGCATATTTTGGCTACCAAATGGAGCACCGACTCCGGTAAAAAAGTGGTAAAGGCCGTGACTTTTATGCTCTCAACTATCTTTGGTTCTTCACTCAGAGACATCCTCCTCTTTGGTTCTTCATCAAACCACACATGATCTAGCGCTGATTCATTCGTTCTTCTTCAAAGACATGAAACCGGTATATTTATGGATTCTAATCAAACACCTTATTATTTTTTTCTTAAATCCAGTCTATCGAATCCGAAATCTATCATAAAACATAAGAAAGTTTTGAAATAAAAACCGTACAGCATATGTTCCGGTTTAACCTTTTCTTTGTGCACGTCATAGTGGTGGATTAATAACTAGATCATATCGTTTGGATTATATTGGAGTTAACTTAAAGAGGGGAGAACATCCCTTCCCGTTATAAAATTCAGACACACAAATGGGTAAAAGGATAGATCTCCTGTTGTCTTCTTCATTACACTAACAAAAATAGACGCACGATGGGGTAGTAGTCACTGGAAATAACCAACTGTTTTCCAACGAATTTCGATCAATTTGTCTCAAGAGGTATTTTTTCTTCCCGTAACTGGAGATAACCAACTGTTTTCCAACGAATTCTGATGAAAACCCACCAAAATAAGTGTCTCGAGATTTAGTTGGTGTATTTTTGGATAGGAATAAAAAAAAAGCCTATTTTCAGACAATTTCAACAGAAGACAGTTGCAGGACATGTACAAATTCAGACAGGCAACAACAAAATGGCTGCCACTCTCTCTTCAGAACCAGTCGTTTATCTCTCCTTCCCCCCCTAATTTATACTCTCCCAATTTCTCCCTTCGTTCTTCATTCCAGTTTTCCCATAAACCCATTCATCCTCGTCTCTTTTCCCATTCGGTTTTCGTTTAGCTGCTTTTGTCGGGTTTCTTGTGCCTCGAGAAAAGGGTTTTTCTCATTTTTGCGAGTTGGTTAAAGGATGGATCAAGCTGAGCTTCGGAGGATCTTTCAGATGTTTGACAGGAACGGGGATGGAAAAATCACGAAGAAGGAGCTGAGCGACTCGTTGAAGAACCTCGGTATCCACATTCCGGACAAAGACCTGGAGCAGATGATCGAGAAGATCGATCTGAACGGTGATGGGTACGTAGACATTGACGAGTTTGGAGGATTGTACCAAACGATAATGGACGAGAGGGACGAGGAGGAAGACATGAGGGAGGCGTTCGACGTGTTTGATCAGAACGGAGACGGGTTCATCACTGTCGAAGAGCTGAGATCTGTTCTGGCTTCCTTGGGGCTCAAGCAAGGAAGGACCCTAGAGGATTGCAAGAGGATGATAAGCAAGGTGGACGTTGATGGAGATGGGATGGTTAATTTCAAGGAGTTCAAGCAGATGATGAAAGGAGGCGGATTCGCCGCCTTAGGTTCATCCCTATGATCCATATTCATTCTTCGAGCCGAGATTGATTGTATCATCGATTATGGCAGTGGCGGGTCCACGTTGATGGCAATGGGGGCCTTTGCCCCCACTATTTGAATTAAAAAATTTTAATTTCCTTTGTAAATTTTATAAATTTGTAAAGAAAAATTGAAATGCCCCCATATTAAAACGTTAAAATTATAATTTGCCCCCTATTAGATATAATCCTAGGTCCGCCCCTGTATTATGGCGAAACAAAACAGAGGAAACAAACACCAAGAATTGCGCCCATAGGTTATGAAAACGTTTTGAGCTCTGTTTTTTTTTGCCAAGAACAGAGATTTCAAATACTGTTTGGTGTTGAATGTTTCCTCAACAGATGTTGTTGAAGAGTTTCGTGTTGGCTCTTTTGAGATCATTCTCCATTATCCTTGGAGGCCAATTATTTCATGGTCTCTCAAGCATTTCCATTTATTTATAAATATATATATATATATATAGTGTGGGTAATGAATGACTAATAACGCCTGCATTAATTTTGTTTTTACCACTTATATTGTAATTATAAGTGCAACCCACAAATTCTATCAATCACAAGATGTCATCTTTTTCCCCATACAAATCTTCCACATGACAGAAAACCCATCAGGATCTGAATCACATCCACCATCGACAACATCAGGAACAGACAGCCCATGACGGATCTGACAGCAGATCCAACGTTCCGGCCGATCTCGAAACCCTAATGCTGATATGAGCCCTGTCTGTCTAAACGTCCATTGCTCTTGAGCGGGTTCAGTGCAAGCTGAGCCACCGGGGAAGAGAACGTGAAGAAAGCTGGGTGAGACAACCTCGAAGACCAGAAGCTTCTTCTCCACGTCAGCACCGGCGTCAGGGAGAGACCCACGAACACGGCGATGGTGTATAGGGAATTCGCGTTCACGAGGCCATCGAGGGCGCTCATCGGTGCCGCCGCCGGAGTAGGATTGTGACGTCACTCTACCGGCGGATCCGGTGGTTGTTATTCACCCATCTTTTATAACAGCGGAGCTCAAATGAGGGAATACAAAAATGTCCCCGTCCTTCCACGGATGAATCTGACGTGTTCTTTGTGAGAGAAAGAGAGGTTTTTGTGGGATTTGCGTATCTAATGACTAAAATGCCCCCGTCTTTCGGGATGCGGGTCCCACGCGTCGAAGAAAGAGAGACGAACGATGCCTTAATTCCCTTTTAAATAATCGACGAAGTTTTTTTTTTGGGTCTATGGTGTTAATTAAAGCAAATTTCTATCGGAAAAAATGTGTTTTTATCTTTATGACTTTATATCAGGATGCGAATTTAATTATTTAGGTTTTGGTGTTTAAAAATTAAATATCTTTTTTTTTACAATCAACATATTAAAACTATAATTACAATGAATTGTGTAAACTAATTTTTTTTCCCTTGCTATTATTTATTCAATTTCTATATATATCCGTTCCATTCATTACTTTTTCTTGTGGAATATAGCTATACGTTCATTTTTTTTATGGAGTGAAGATTGGTAAGATGCTGTTCTTGGAGATTGGAGAAATTAGGGTTTTGGAGTTCTGAAAATATATTTCGAGTTGATATATGAGATACGTATATATATATATATATAAAATAAGAAGAACAAGAGCATGGATTTAATTCAGCCATTGTTATTGTGAAAAATGTTTATATATGGCGAAGACTTTTCTAGTGGATATATGAAAATATATTTCTGCAGAAGGAAGTTATCGAGTATCATCAATTTTATCTGACTCGTGATTTTCAAGTTGGTAATTGGTATACCAAAAAAATGCAAGTGTCGTATGATATATAGTCATATTAAATACAAATCCAAATTATATTTTGATGAAAGAAGACAAGTGCCCATAGTCTATACGAAAATCTATGAAAAGTGTGTATATATATATATATATATATAAACTCATCTTTATCCAATTACCCAGTCGGTCCATAGAAACTATAAAATAATAGTTAACAAAGTCGAATAATTGCTGAAAGATGAAATTATCTTTCAAGTGTGTGTATAGGCAAAGGAGATAAGATTCTGGGTATTTTTGTAATTGATATGTCATGAATCCTCACCAATGAATCATTATCAAGAGATATGATTTGAGAAGATTAGGTAATCTTCTTAGTATCTCTTTATTTATTTATATATATATATATATATATATATATATATATATATATATATATTCATAAATGTTTTGTATATAAATTAATACAC